AAGGAGGGAATGTTACAGATTGAAGGGGGGCGCGGCGTGAAGCAGCTCACTCCATCATTGAGATTCCGCTTAGAAGTGTTCGACAATTACGTCATCCTCTTCGACCTGGGTAACTAGATGTTTGAGAGGAGAAATTAAAGAAATTAACGCTAACGACACCGCAGAGCAGCGTGCGAAGCAAAAGCACAGCAACAGTGTGACTAAGTGCACAGAAACACCTAGGAAACGGTAGAACAACACACGCACACGACAAACGCTACCAGGCAACCAAGGGCCACACAACCCGGGACACCAACTCGGTTATACCTCAGTCTCCGTCCGCCAAGGCCTCCGTCGATTGTTTCCACTATTCCGCAAGGAAGTCGATGAAGATGAGCTTTCTTCGAAGAAGCCCGACCTTTCAGTTGGCGAAGGTACTGCTAGATTCCCATCTCCACGAATCACTGTCCCTCGAACGTTTCTCAGATCCCCGTCGAGAATAGACCTACACCACAGACAATTCACAACACTACAGTGACTAATAGAGAAGAGGCAAAGCCTGAGAAGGCGTCGCATTCTCAATGAAAAAGAGATTCTGCCACAGCCACTAGAGCCGACTACAGCTAGAAATTACTCTTCACAGAATGTACGATGTTCTCACCATTCGTCGTCGTTGACCACTAAAGAATGTGGCTGTCGCACGGGCTCGTACGGTAACGTCATTATCGGCATTCCTGCGGAACTTGGACTCATCTTAAATTCGCGATATTTTATAATTTTCAAAGGAAAAAATCCGGAACGACGTCTTTAGTACATTTACGGTTGTACATTGCTGAGCAGAAAATTTGAATCATTTTGAATGGCTATTTCAAAAGATATGTCTTATTATCGCGTTGATAGTATCAGCTTGTCTTTTCTGAGTATAGAAAGGTTTGGTCTATGTCCAATCAAGAACTTCTGAAGTTCCTGAAAAATTGTACAAAAGTTGTATTTGGTAGTTTAAAAGTTTTTGAAAGCTTTGCTCGTCCATTCTAAATTGATTAATGAACTTGGTCTTAAATTTCACTAAGCTAGATTTTCAAAACATTGCTGCACAGAAGAGTTACAATTTGTGGAGCTTTGTTTTTACTTCTATAAACATTTTTCTGAACTTTTCATTTTATCTAGCTCACTTTGGTAGTTGGTTGCGCATTTGTAACGCATATATCGTTTTCTCAATCTTTTCCCTTTCCATTTTTGGCAACGAATGTCTATAAAAGGATGCAAAAAAGGGAATAATTCAAGAATGTCTCAGCATGTACTAGTGTGCTGCCCTACTAGAAACCGGCAGATGCACTTGCCCTGCTTGAAGTTGGGCATGGCCTAATTCCATATACAAATTACTAGAATTTGCGAAGAAGCAAAAGTGTTGCGCTGTGCGTAGAAATGGGGCATCTTCGCTTCCAAAAAGACAATGCTGAAAGCTTAGATAAAACAGTA